TCCTAGCACTGTCATTATAAGTCACCCTAATTTATCGTCACCGATAAAGATTGAATAATATTATTCATTCAAACCTATTTTACTGAGGTTAATCTATTACAATTGTCCAATTATTTATGAACTCGATCTAATATTTGAATTCATTAATTTGTTTTAATAATTATAGTGAATAAAGTTAAATAATTTTTTGGTCAGACGCTAATAGGGAGCAGAGCGATGAATTATAATACTCGACTTTAAAGTTTAATACCGAAATTTAATTTTTTTTTAATAAATAATTGATAAAGAGGGTGATGATTATTAGGCTAATAGTTAATTTTATTAATAAATTAGGCCTACATAATATCTATAATATAATATAAGATATATTTTAATAAATTCATTCAATCGTCTCAAATAAACTTATCAAACAGCCGCACCATCGTTCCTCTCAAAATTATTTAAATTAAATTTTTTTTTTAAATTCATCATTTTTCACTAGAATCTTGTATTCCGAGTTACCCTATTGGCAGGATAAAACATAACGGCTGTTTCCCTTTGGGTCCCACCGTTCAGAACCTCAGTTCCCTCCATGTTCTTCCCCAAATTCAAATCCTCCAGTTTTTTCGTGAAGCAAGAGTCATGGAAAACCAAAATAGCCAGATATTAAGTTTTAGGACGATGCTAATGTAAATAAAACTGATGCAAATCCACGGTAGATTCTTGAAAGGCATTGATATGGTTTTCGTCGCGGAAATTCAATATGATCCTACTACTGAACAGGAAATTCTTGAATAGGTAATAATCAGAACTACTTCAATCCTGTTTAGTAGTTTCGAATTAGGTATATCTTTTGTTTGCCGGTTTAAAGATCCGATGTAGTGTATGGGCTGATTTCAAGAGGATTGAGTTGGGGTCCTTTTTGTGGAATGGTAATTACTGATTATTTTCAGGATCTTGATCCTCTCAATTTGAAAATTTATTTAAAGTTTGATTAATTTCAATAAATTTAAGTTTATTTGAGCCCTTTAATTGATCTTTAAGTATCCTCTAGGTTAGAATATCAATTAATTTTGATCAATTCAATAAAAGTTAAGTTTATGGAGTCCTGTTGCTTGATCTTTATGGGTTCATGGTGGGACTCGGTGGATGTAGGTCGACTGAAATTGACTTATTTTGAAATAGAAGATCAAAAATCCTGATTACGAAGTGGATGGTGATAAATATGAAAAAGCATATAGGAAATCATTTGTCCAAACTTTTGAATATTCCCTGTAAATATGGATTAATAATATGCAAGGACAAGTCTGTTGAACTATTTATCGTTGCTCTAGAAAGCATATGGTGAACTTATAATCGGATTGAAGCTTTGTAGAGGGCAATGTGCTCAACAGATGTGGTTTAAAGAACCAAATTAACTGCAACTTTGATTGTTATGTGTCATTTTGATGAACAGTCATGGAAAGGCCATATGGGGTAGCAATGAGTATGAGCTGACCAAACTGAATGTGGTTTTAATTTTTAAGCATTGAGGAATGATATGGCGGCGAATAAGGTAACCAGAATTGTAGTTGGGGTGGAACTGAAAACATGCTCATGTAGCCACTGCCAAATAGTAGGGACACGGTTTTATGAGTTGGGTTGACATGTACGTTTGTCTGCTGTTTGCATATATGTGATGTTTGTTCTTCAGTGATGTCAAGTATGATGCCTAAATATCAGTATGCCTTTGGATTTAGATATTGTAAATACTTTGATTACTTTCTTCAAGTTTCCTTGATGGCCTTTTGCTATTTCGACAAACCTTTCAATAATGCATGCTCAACAGTTAAACCAGTCAGGAGGGAAAATTGAAAAGAAAAAAGGCAGGAAATCTCAAACATTTACTCAAAATAATGGAAGAAATACAAAATTCCCTNATCCTGATTACGAAGTGGATGGTGAGGAGCTCTCAATCCTGTTTAACGAGGAGAAGAGAAAAAGATGAATATGAAAAAGCATATAGGAAATCATTTGTCCAAACTTTTGAATATTCCCTGTAANAATCCTGATTACGAAGTGGATGGTGATAAATATGAAAAAGCATATAGGAAATCATTTGTCCAAACTTTTGAATATTCCCTGTAAATATGGATTAATAATATGCAAGGACAAGTCTGTTGAACTATTTATCGTTGCTCTAGAAAGCATATGGTGAAGTTATAATCGGATTGAAGCTTTGTAGAGGGCAATGTGCTCAACAGATGTGGTTTAAAGAACCAAATTAACTGCAACTTTGATTGTTATGTGTCATTTTGATGAACAGTCATGGAAAGGCCATATGGGGTAGCAATGAGTATGAGCTGACCAAACTGAATGTGGTTTTAATTTTTAAGCATTGAGGAATGATATGGCGGCGAATAAGGTAACCAGAATTGTAGTTGGGGTGGAACTGAAAACATGCTCATGTAGCCACTGCCAAATAGTAGGGACACGGTTTTATGAGTTGGGTTGACATGTACGTTTGTCTGCTGTTTGCATATATGTGATGTTTGTTCTTCAGTGATGTCAAGTATGATGCCTAAATATCAGTATGCCTTTGGATTTAGATATTGTAAATACTTTGATTACTTTCTTCAAGTTTCCTTGATGGCCTTTTGCTATTTCGACAAACCTTTCAATAATGCATGCTCAACAGTTAAACCAGTCAGGAGGGAAAATTGAAAAGAAAAAAGGCAGGAAATCTCAAACATTTACTCAAAATAATGGAAGAAATACAAAATTCCCTCTACAAAAATTTTAATAATTGATGTCCTCTTTACAACAATCACTCAACAACCCAATTATAAGATCACTATATGATTGGAAAAAATGTAAGATCATCATCTGATCTCTGTAGGTGAGAAAAAAATGGAAGTTCAAAAAAAAAAAAAGAAAAAGAAAAAAGGCAATTACATTTTGAGCACTCGTTGACTCACTCTCTCAACCCATTGAAAAAGCTAATGGGAAATGCAACTACTTACAGTAATTTATGTTTATGTTTTTTTTTTCATTGTAATCATAGAAAACTAAAGTGAAATGCTCAATCTGTTGACTGCAACAGGAAATGAAAATCTGACCGCTGACGAAGGAGAGCTGGTGGCTCCACGTCAGATAGACTGATATCAGGGAAAGATCGGGATATCTCTTCCATTGTGAAAGGTATGCTGTAACAAGGTAAATCAGTTAGTAATATTATGATATTATCATGGTTTTATGTCATTCTCTGGTGGGTCATCTGAGTTTCCAGTTTATTACCTCGAATCCGCATCAAGCAAGAAAGAATTATTTGGCAGGTTAATTGAATCTTCTGCCATTAATGCTCTCATCTTGCCTATCACCTGAAGTTTCAAAAAATTACAGTGAGGCCAAACTAACCTCCCAGAATAATTTACCTACAGTAAACTCAGATAAGCCAACATTTTCACAATTTTTTGGAGCCTATATACAGGGATATACTGTCTAAAACATGATGAGAAAGTACTTAGGTGATATAAAGAAGTTAAGCCGATATAGCCATGATAGTATTGTTCTTTTATAGTTGCACAAAACTTTTTCTAGGGAGAGAGGTTAAACACCACACAGTAATGCGTATTGCTTAACTAAGATTTATAAATCATGGAAGCTTGCGTGTGTGCATTACTATGGATGCAGGCTAATTTACCAATAAACAATTAGAATGAGTTGTAAACTGATGTAAGGTTACACTGAGGTTGGTTATATTTTAATCCTTAGTGTGGGAAAAATTTATTTGATAATCATATCGGTCTCTTTCTTTGTTCTAGGGCCTAAACTTCAATAAAAGTTCAAAGCTTAGATGATGATCATAGACTCGTTATTATATTGATAATAAATTATGGACCTTACCTCCGGAGATAATCCTTGGGTTCCATATTTGTCATCCCAAAACATGGTTCCAATGCGATATATTTGTGGAATGCTCAGCACCTAAATAAAAAAGAAAGAAAGAAAGAAAACAGAGTTTAGGTTCATTATAGTGATCTTTTTGATCTTGGCAATGCTATTTTCCTGGTAAGCTTTTGTTGCTCTTAAAGTTCAAATTGAATGTTTGGATTAACTCCAGCACAGATAAAAATACAGAAGTTACAGACTACTTGAATTAAGTTACCGTGCAGAGCTCATTTGTGATCTCTTCCAATGATTTATGAGGCTTTTGATGCAACACCTGCATATTTGAAGCATACTAAAATCTTTATCTATAACCAAGATTATTGCATTTTAGGCAGAGTTCAGAACAACATACCAGAAATCCAACAGCTTGTCTTATGTGTTGAAGTTCCTCCCATGACGATCCAGCAAACTATAGTAACAAAATGATTTAACAATTGAATCCGTCCCAAACTCATACATGATCTGCAAACAGTTTTTAACAGATAACTGTTGAACCTGNGTCTTATGTGTTGAAGTTCCTCCCATGACGATCCAGCAAACTATAGTAACAAAATGATTTAACAATTGAATCTGTCCCAAACTCATACATGATCTGCAAACAGTTTTTAACAGATAACTGTTGAACCTGATCTGTTGCTCTAATGCACCATTGTTCCAGTTCTTGCAAACCAGCCTTGACATACTCTCCATTGCTGAATGAGCAGCACTCACGGCGAAGCAATAAGCTGCGACACCATGGAATTATGGTGTTTGGATTTTTTTTTCTAGAGTTGAAATCTCTTGATNTAAATACTTTGATTACTTTCTTCAAGTTTCCTTGATGGCCTTTTGCTATTTTGACAAACCTTTCAATAATGCATGCTCAACAGTTAAACCAGTCAGGAGGGAAAATTGAAAAGAAAAAAGGCAGGAAATCTCAAACATTTACTCAAAATAATGGAAGAAATACAAAATTCCCTCTACAAAAATTTTAATAATTGATGTCCTCTTTACAACAATCACTCAACAACCCAATTATAAGATCACTATATGATTGGAAAAAATGTAAGATCATCATCTGATCTCTGTAGGTGAGAAAAAAATGGAAGTTCAAAAAAAAAAAAAGAAAAAGAAAAAAGGCAATTACATTTTGAGCACTCGTTGACTCACTCTCTCAACCCATTGAAAAAGCTAATGGGAAATGCAACTACTTACAGTAATTTATGTTTACGTTTTTTTTTTCATGGTAATCATAGAAAACTAAAGTGAAATGCTCAATCTGTTGACTGCAACAGGAAATGAAAATCTGACCGCTGACGAAGGAGAGCTGGTGGCTCCACGTCAGATAGACTGATATCAGGGAAAGATCGGGATATCTCTTCCATTGTGAAAGGTATGCTGTAACAAGGTAAATCAGTTAGTAATATTATGATATTATCATGGTTTTATGTCATTCTCTGGTGGGTCATCTGAGTTTCCAGTTTATTACCTCGAATCCACATCAAGCAAGAAAGAATTATTTGGCAGGTTAATTGAATCTTCTGCCATTAATGCTCTCATCTTGCCTATCACCTGAAGTTTCAAAAAATTACAGTGAGGCCAAACTAACCTCCCAGAATAATTTACCTACAGTAAACTCAGATAAGCCAACATTTTCACAATTTTTTGGAGCCTATATACAGGGATATACTGTCTAAAACATGATGAGAAAGTACTTAGGTGATATAAAGAAGTTAAGCCGATATAGCCATGATAGTATTGTTCTTTTATAGTTGCACAAAACTTTTTCTAGGGAGAGAGGTTAAACACCACACAGTAATGCGTATTGCTTAACTAAGATTTATAAATCATGGAAGCTTGCGTGTGTGCATTACTATGGATGCAGGCTAATTTACCAATAAACAATTAGAATGAGTTGTAAACTGATGTAAGGTTACACTGAGGTTGGTTATATTTTAATCCTTAGTGTGGGAAAAATTTATTTGATAATCATATCGGTCTCTTTCTTTGTTCTAGGGCCTAAACTTCAATAAAAGTTCAAAGCTTAGATGATGATCATAGACTCGTTATTATATTGATAATAAATTATGGACCTTACCTCCGGAGATAATCCTTGGGTTCCATATTTGTCATCCCAAAACATGGTTCCAATGCGATATATTTGTGGAATGCTCAGCACCTAAATAAAAAAGAAAGAAAGAAAGAAAACAGAGTTTAGGTTCATTATAGTGATCTTTTTGATCTTGGCAATGCTATTTTCCTGGTAAGCTTTTGTTGCTCTTAAAGTTCAAATTGAATGTTTGGATTAACTCCAGCACAGATAAAAATACAGAAGTTACAGACTACTTGAATTAAGTTACCGTGCAGAGCTCATTTGTGATCTCTTCCAATGATTTATGAGGCTTTTGATGCAACACCTGCATATTTGAAGCATACTAAAATCTTTATCTATAACCAAGATTATTGCATTTTAGGCAGAGTTCAGAACAACATACCAGAAATCCAACAGCTTGTCTTATGTGTTGAAGTTCCTCCCATGACGATCCAGCAAACTATAGTAACAAAATGATTTAACAATTGAATCTGTCCCAAACTCATACATGATCTGCAAACAGTTTTTAACAGATAACTGTTGAACCTGATCTGTTGCTCTAATGCACCATTGTTCCAGTTCTTGCAAACCAGCCTTGACATACTCTCCATTGCTGAATGAGCAGCACTCACGGCGAAGCAATAAGCTGCGACACCATGGAATTATGGTGTTTGGATTTTTTTTTCTAGAGTTGAAATCTCTTGATGCGAGGATTAAGACTAGCAAGAGCTGCTTACCTATTGAAAAGCTGGACATTTATGAATGAGAATATCTGACTGAAGATTTTCCTTGTGATAATGGAAGGGACCTGAGGATATGAATGTCAACCAAGGAAGTCTGGAGTTTTTTCTTTGATACATGATATCAGGGAAAACACATCAGAAATTATTTTTGCTTACATAGTTTTCAGACAGTATGCCCAAGGTATGATCCAAGCTGTTTACAATACTTTGCCAGTGTATGCTTGACGCCTGTTGTTTTGCAACTATATTTGAATGGATACTTTTGGATGATCCCCTTATTTGTCTTACCCTTGCAGATCTTGGTGCCTATTAATGGTATTTGAAGATTTAGTTTGACATTGGTGCAAGGTCTTAAATTGTAGACTTTTTCTCATGTAAGGTGCTTACTTGTATACACAAGTTTAGGAGCTGACTTATCTCTTTCTTCAGGCTATCACGAATCATTCCATATATTTTCTCAACACATGCAGTTAGATGTTGCTTAAACAACAGGGCCGGGTACTTGGCTTCTATCTTTGATCGTGTGTCTGGCTTTCCATCCATTCCGCTGTATCCACTGGATGTTCCCATGCTTATTGAAGATGCACGAAAACCCTGGTAATGTGCTTTAGATTTATGTATTTTCTTATTGGAATAGAGTAGAAACAAATCCCAAACTTCAAGGAGCTTACTTGTGCCATTCTGCCGAACAAGGTGGCGGGCGAGGTTCGGTTACGTTGTGAAGCCGCTGGTGCATTGCTTGCCTTGATTGTACTTTGAAGAAGGAACACTAGTGTAGCAGTCGTTGACAGCCAATATGCTAGGTCTTTGATGTTTTCCTGACTCTTTGAGGACAAATGGTGGCAGATTAATTTCAATTGGCAAATGGAGTCTAATAGTTGTTGTGCATATTTACAAGGCCCCTAGCTGGTCACTAATGAACACATATATTTATAAAATGGCTTGTGTGTTTCGGAATGGTTTGTAGAATTACTACCTCTATAGATGATCGGATTGTGTGAATAATCCTGTCAAATACATGTGTCTTTTCTGCTTCAAAAGATCTCCACTGTAGAAGTGCTTTGTACACAATACAGGCAGCGACAGGTCTGCTTTTGTCAAATTTCTTATCTTCCATGAGACACTTGATTAATACATCATGGTTTTCCTGATTATAGGAAAGATAAAAAGAATGTACTTAAGCGATTAGATGATTGAAACAAGGAATAATTATGGTATCTGTGTTGTCAGTGAAAAGTTTCTGACTGCAAAGTACATACCTGCTGTCTGTCTGTTAGGGATCTTTGTTTAGTGAGGAGGGAGCCAAGAGGGCCTGATTCCTGCAGACATAATTTACTCATGATATTGTAAAAAACAGATGAATGCTTTAATTGTCATACGACTCATAACTGGTCTGCCCTTGAAGAAATTAGTAAAAGAAGCTGAATTTACTTTTGTGGTTTGTTGCTCCACTTTTGTTGCTTGATATTCATCCTCTGTTGGACATCCATGATAAATTTCATGTCCATTATCAAGATTCTGCATTTTCACAGGTGTTCAGAAATAAATGGCCAATAAAAAGGCTACAAATTAAAGAATTGACCCAGTCGGTGTACCTTCATTTGTGGCGAAACCTGTTCAGGACTAGTTATTTGCTCCACAATTACTTTCTGGTTGCGGAGGAACTCATTTTCTGATTGCAAGGTTGTAATCTTGCTCTTGACGCTGACAGAGACAAATACCATTCAATTTATTGTTTTTTGTTTTTCAAAGTAGTGACGGCTTGTTGTGAAACAAAGACTTGAAACCTCTCAGCTAAAAATGCCAGAGCATGTTTGAGAAGTTATTATGGATTGAAATCATTTTGGACAATTTTGGAATTGGTGGTGCTTATTCTAGTCGGTAAACATGATCTGCAGCTTCACTTGTCAGGGTCAAAATTATTTCCCTCTCATATTTTTCCTCTCAACGAGTGGTGTGCAAATAATTACTCATTAATGGATAGAGTTTTTTTAAATGGAATATGTCAAGTTTTCCATCATTCTATATATTGATGTATACTATTTTCTTGGTCATGATGAGAATCAGGTCGTCATCATATATGGTTTTTCTTATCCCACAACAGTAAAAAAAAAAAAATCTTTTTAGTGGTCTTCTTTTGTTTTGGTTCCAAAATGAAAGAAACATACCCAAGTGTGTTCAACTTGGTTGGTTTTTGTGTAATTTAACTGCTTAATGTCCCCAGTTTTCATAGTGTGTCAAGCACCAAACTAATGTGGCATTTTCAATTTTTTTTTTTAGCATATACTGTCTTGTATATTCTTACATTTCCATTTCCTCGGAGAGGTCCTCGCTAGTTGATGCAGCCAAAGCCTGCTGGCGTAAAACCTGGTTCTCAGATTCAAGGTTGGTCAAGTTCAGTTCTAATCTGGAGGTGAGCATAAAGGAGAAACAGTTAGAACAAAATTGACAATCGTATGGATGCCTGCTTATGTAATATTTCATTTTTGACTACCTTTCAATGGCCTCCTGAAGTTGTGTTGCTCTCAGCTGTGATTCCTCTACCTCTTTAAGTCTGGCCCGGCTTTCTGTTTGAACATCAGAATACTTCTGCTCAAATTCCTGCATTCTCTTCTTAAGCTCTCTTACTTCACCCTGCATAGACACCATTTATATTTGGTCACTGGTGCAGCCATCATGCAGTTACGCAGAGGGTACATTGAGCAGCATAAGTTACCGTGAAAAGTGAATGTCACTGCATATTTCCTGTTCAATGGTATAATGGCTAGACTAATTGCTACTGTTTTGATTGTCCGAACTTCCGGCCTCTCCTTTATTTGTTATGAGGGATCTTTGCTCCATAACAAAGTTTTAACGAATTAATTTTATCTCAATTTCATGTTTTGCCAATCTTATCATCTTTTTTCCAAACTTGCTTTTGTACATTTTCATTTGTCTCTTACTCTCTCTTGTTATTTCACAAATTTCTGGTATACCTGAATGATTTTTCCAACATATTGATTGAATTAAGTTTTCAAAGACCAGTTAAGTTTTGTATTGGCAATTTTTTGTCCATCAAGCATGTGCCTGCGAAGGTTTTACATGTCCAGTAGTCCTTATAGTTGATGTACCATTAGCATTAGACTTCTGCTCTCCAGAATGCGTGGCATTTAGGTGTCATGTTATATAATACCTATGAAGATGCGTTGCTTGATGTTACCTCGAGTTCTTGGTTTTGATTTGTCAATTGCTCCACCTTGGTGTTGTCCACGACTGGTACCTCTTTGATAACGGGTGGGGCTTGTTCAATGGCTATCTTTGCTGCTTCTTTCTCATGAGTTATTGTGGCGTGAGCTTCATCTAGTTGCCCCTGCATTTCATGTAGAGCATTCTGCAATTTTGCAATTTCTTGCCCCTTCGCTTCTTCAAGATCAATCTAAAAGAAGATCATCATTTTTTTTCAATAAGCTTAAGTGGACAATAGTCACCAAATTATTACTTAGTGTTCAGATTTATAACATCTATTATTGGTTTGCAGACTTTTACAAAACTCTGCACAACTTGTTTAGAATTCAAGCAAGTTCAACGTATCTCCATAACTCAAACAAGTTATTGAGAATTGGAATCTTTTGGCCAACGGTCTGGTGGCTATCTAGTCTTGATGTTTAATTTTGACATCGACAAGTATGAAGGTGATTGCTTGACTTGCTGTGCCTCCTCAACCAGAGCCCTGGGTATGTAGTGAACCCTTTTATCATAGTACTAATCTTTGTCTCTGAGCTGGAAAAGGTACAAATGATAGCACCCTTGTGCATTTCTTAAACATTAGTATGTAAAACTCATGATGTTGGCTGTCAGCCTGTTATCTTTCAGATTGTTCGAACAAGTTGATAAAGAACATACCCTCAAGTGCTTTTCGAAATCTAATCGCCATGTTAGCTCTTCAACACGCTTTTCCAGCTTGTCCTTGGCTTCTTTTAGCGCCCCAGTTTCTCTTGCAGCCTGCATTAGGTAATTTTTCAATCCAGTCATTATAGTTGTTTTAAATCAGAGTAGTTAGATATTTGAGAATCATTGAGTAGTGCAAAGTTGGTTCCAGAAAGAAGATAAGCTCACCATTCTCAGCTTTCTAAGCTCTTTTCTTGCCACCCGTGCTCTCCAGAGGCATTGAAGTGTTAGATTTGCTTTCTTTTGCTGATTGTATGCAGAAAGAGCATGGAATCTTCGCCATTGAGTCTGTAAGGGACAAGAATTGATCGAGTAATCAGCTTTGAGAATCAAGGTAACAGTTGCAATTTGAATCTTCTTCATTCTAGTGTCTACCATCACATTGTGAGTGTAAACTTTGATCAAATAATAAAGAAAGAAACTAGATGAAAGAAATATTATTGAGGTATAATTAGCCTGAACAATTTTAAAGGAAAACTACATATAAAAGGTCTTTATATAGTAGGACAAAAGGAAAACAAACAGATTAAGTTAGGACAACATAAAAGATAACAAATGATTCAGCTACCCATAAGTCTAAATATGCTAACTACTCTAACACCCTCCCTTAAACTCATGATGTGGTAACATCAAACATCAAGAGTTTGCTAAGAAAAAAATCAGAAGCGCGCGAAGGTGTGAGATTTTGTAAAAAAACGATCAACAAGTAGCCAACGTAACCAAACTATCTCTGCTATTGTGAAGGCCATAGCATTATACTCAGTTTCAGCAGATGATCGAGCTACAACAGCTTGTTTTTTACTTTTTCACAAAATAAGAGAATCACCAAGGAAGAGACAGAAACCAGTAGTGCGATCCATAAAATCACCAGCCCAGTTCGCATCAGAGTAAACACAAAGTTCTAGAGATTTAGAGAAAGGAAATAATAAACTCAACAAAAACTCCAAGTGTAGGCTCAACAAATTAAGGCCCAAATAGCAAGAGGGGTCCAACAGAGAACCAAAGCTCAAAAAAAATCACTAGCAACAATGCCTAATAAAACAAAGCCCAACAAAGAAGAGAAGAAAAGCCAAATCATCAGCTCAACAGAAGGAAGCCCAAATCAACAAACCCAAAGGATTGAGGTTGTCTAACAAAAACCACCAGCAACAATGTCTAACAAAACAAAGTCCAACAAAGAAGAGAAGAAAAGCCAAACCAGCAGTCCAACAGAAAGAAGTTCAAATCAACAAATCCAAAGGATTGGGGTTGCCTAACAAAAATCACCAGCAACAATATCCAACAAAACAAAGCTCAACAAAGAAGAGAAGAAAAGCTAAAACAACAGCCCAACAAAGAAGAGAAGAAAAGACAAACCAGAAGCCAAACAGAAAGAAGCCCAACTCAACAAACCCAAAAGATTGGGTTGCCCAACAAAACCCACCAGCGACAACTTGTTTAGCGAGGAAGACCCAACAACAAGAAGCATCCATAGAAGAGAAGAGGTAGCAAACCCAACAACTAGAACTAGCAACGAAGGCATAGAAACAGCCAACCGACACATCGAGGAGCAAAAATCCAATCACAAAACAGAAAGAAGAAGGTACCAGCGAAGCCAAGAGAGACCTCCCTAGAACATAAACCAACCAGCAGAAGCCAAGAGCAAAAACTAGAACCAAAAGAAGCAGCCAACGCCAAACAATTTAAAGTTCGCCACAAATCAACTCAACAACTTTGTAAATTAAATACCCATAATAAATGAAGGTTTCTTACACAACAGTACAACAAAAATGACACAAATAATCGAAATTCGGCACTGTTTACAGCATGAACAGTAACTTCGGTACTGTTAACAGTAATTTCAGCACTGTTCACAGAGTGAACAGCATTTTCGGTACTATTCACATACCTTAGAACCATGTTGGCTCTGATACCATGTAAACTTTGATTAAATAATCAAGAAAGAAACTAGAAGAAAGAAACATTATTGAGGCACAACTAGCCAGAACAACCTTAAAAGAAAACTACATATAAGAGGTCTTTATATAATAANGAAACATACCCAAGTGTGTTCAACTTGGTTGGTTTTTGTGTAATTTAACTGCTTAATGTCCCCAGTTTTCATAGTGTGTCAAGCACCAAACTAATGTGGCATTTTCAATTTTTTTTTTTAGCATATACTGTCTTGTATATTCTTACATTTCCATTTCCTCGGAGAGGTCCTCGCTAGTTGATGCAGCCAAAGCCTGCTGGCGTAAAACCTGGTTCTCAGATTCAAGGTTGGTCAAGTTCAGTTCTAATCTGGAGGTGAGCATAAAGGAGAAACAGTTAGAACAAAATTGACAATCGTATGGATGCCTGCTTATGTAATATTTCATTTTTGACTACCTTTCAATGGCCTCCTGAAGTTGTGTTGCTCTCAGCTGTGATTCCTCTACCTCTTTAAGTCTGGCCCGGCTTTCTGTTTGAACATCAGAATACTTCTGCTCAAATTCCTGCATTCTCTTCTTAAGCTCTCTTACTTCACCCTGCATAGACACCATTTATATTTGGTCACTGGTGCAGCCATCATGCAGTTACGCAGAGGGTACATTGAGCAGCATAAGTTACCGTGAAAAGTGAATGTCACTGCATATTTCCTGTTCAATGGTATAATGGCTAGACTAATTGCTACTGTTTTGATTGTCCGAACTTCCGGCCTCTCCTTTATTTGTTATGAGGGATCTTTGCTCCATAACAAAGTTTTAACGAATTAATTTTATCTCAATTTCATGTTTTGCCAATCTTATCATCTTTTTTCCAAACTTGCTTTTGTACATTTTCATTTGTCTCTTACTCTCTCTTGTTATTTCACAAATTTCTGGTATACCTGAATGATTTTTCCAACATATTGATTGAATTAAGTTTTCAAAGACCAGTTAAGTTTTGTATTGGCAATTTTTTGTCCATCAAGCATGTGCCTGCGAAGGTTTTACATGTCCAGTAGTCCTTATAGTTGATGTACCATTAGCATTAGACTTCTGCTCTCCAGAATGCGTGGCATTTAGGTGTCATGTTATATAATACCTATGAAGATGCGTTGCTTGATGTTACCTCGAGTTCTTGGTTTTGATTTGTCAATTGCTCCACCTTGGTGTTGTCCACGACTGGTACCTCTTTGATAACGGGTGGGGCTTGTTCAATGGCTATCTTTGCTGCTTCTTTCTCATGAGTTATTGTGGCGTGAGCTTCATCTAGTTGCCCCTGCATTTCATGTAGAGCATTCTGCAATTTTGCAATTTCTTGCCCCTTCGCTTCTTCAAGATCAATCTAAAAGAAGATCATCATTTTTTTTCAATAAGCTTAAGTGGACAATAGTCACCAAATTATTACTTAGTGTTCAGATTTATAACATCTATTATTGGTTTGCAGACTTTTACAAAACTCTGCACAACTTGTTTAGAATTCAAGCAAGTTCAACGTATCTCCATAACTCAAACAAGTTATTGAGAATTGGAATCTTTTGGCCAACGGTCTGGTGGCTATCTAGTCTTGATGTTTAATTTTGACATCGACAAGTATGAAGGTGATTGCTTGACTTGCTGTGCCTCCTCAACCAGAGCCCTGGGTATGTAGCGAACCCTTTTATCATAGTACTAATCTTTGTCTCTGAGCTGGAAAAGGTACAAATGATAGCACCCTTGTGCATTTCTTAAACATTAGTATGTAAAACTCATGATGTTGGCTGTCAGCCTGTTATCTTTCAGATTGTTCGAACAAGTTGATAAAGAACATACCCTCAAGTGCTTTTCGAAATCTAATCGCCATGTTAGCTCTTCAACACGCTTTTCCAGCTTGTCCTTGGCTTCTTTTAGCGCCCCAGTTTCTCTTGCAGCCTGCATTAGGTAATTTTTCAATCCAGTCATTATAGTTGTTTTAAATCAGAGTAGTTAGATATTTGAGAATCATTGAGTAGTGCAAAGTTGGTTCCAGAAAGAAGATAAGCTCACCATTCTCAGCTTTCTAAGCTCTTTTCTTGCCACCCGTGCTCTCCAGAGGCATTGAAGTGTTAGATTTGCTTTCTTTTGCTGATTGTATGCAGAAAGAGCATGGAATCTTCGCCATTGAGTCTGTAAGGGACAAGAATTGATCGAGTAATCAGCTTTGAGAATCAAGGTAACAGTTGCAATTTGAATCTTCTTCATTCTAGTGTCTACCATCACATTGTGAGTGTAAACTTTGATCAAATAATAAAGAAAGAAACTAGATGAAAGAAATATTATTGAGGTATAATTAGCCTGAACAATTTTAAAGGAAAACTACATATAAAAGGTCTTTATATAGTAGGACAAAAGGAAAACAAACAGATTAAGTTAGGACAACATAAAAGATAACAAATGATTCAGCTACCCATAAGTCTAAATATGCTAACTACTCTAACACCCTCCCTTAAACTCATGATGTGGTAACATCAAACATCAAGAGTTTGCTAAGAAAAAAATCAGAAGCGCGCGAAGGTGTGAGATTTTGTAAAAAAACGATCAACAAGTAGCCAACGTAACCAAACTATCTCTGCTATTGTGAAGGCCATAGCATTATACTCAGTTTCAGCAGATGATCGAGCTACAACAGCTTGTTTTTTACTTTTTCACAAAATAAGAGAATCACCAAGGAAGAGACAGAAACCAGTAGTGCGATCCATAAAATCACCAGNCAAGCCACAACAACTTGTTTTTTACTTTTTCACAAAATAAGAGAATCACCAAGGAAGAGACAGAAACCAGTAGTGCAATCCATAGAATCACCAGCCCAGTTCGCATCAGAGTAAACTCAAAGTTCTAGAGACTTAGAGAAAGGAAATAATAAACTCAACAAAAACTCCAAGTGTAGGCTCAACAAATTNCGAGCTACAACAGCTTGTTTTTTACTTTTTCACAAAATAAGAGAATCACCAAGGAAGAGACAGAAACCAGTAGTGCGATCCATAAAATCACCAGCCCAGTTCGCATCAGAGTAAACACAAAGTTCTAGAGATTTAGAGAAAGGAAATAATAAACTCAACAAAAACTCCAAGTGTAGGCTCAACAAATTAAGGCCCAAATAGCAAGAGGGGTCCAACAGAGAACCAAAGCTCAATAAAAATCACTAGCAACAATGCCTAATAAAACAAAGCCCAACAAAGAAGAGAAGAAAAGCCAAATCATCAGCTCAACAGAAGGAAGCCCAAATCAACAAACCCAAAGGATTGAGGTTGTCTAACAAAAACCACCAGCAACAATGTCTAACAAAACAAAGTCCAACAAAGAAGAGAAGAAAAGTCAAACCAGCTGTCCAACAGAAAGAAGTTCAAATCAACAAATCCAAAGGATTGGGGTTGCCTAACAAAAATCACCAGCAACAATATCCAACAAAACAAAGCTCAACAAAGAAGAGAAGAAAAGCTAAAACAACAGCCCAACAAAGAAGAGAAGAAAAGACAAACCAGAAGCCAAACAGAAAGAAGCCCAACTCAACAAACCCAAAAGATTGGGTTGCCCAACAAAACCCACCAGCGACAACTTGTTTAGCGAGGAAGACCCAACAACAAGAAGCATCCGTAGAAGAGAAGAGGTAGCAAACCCAACAACTAGAACTAGCAACGAAGGCATAGAAACAGCCAACCGACACATCGAGGAGCAAAAATCCAATCACAAAACAGAAAGAAGAAGGTACCAGCGAAGCCAAGAGAGACCTCCCTAGAACAGAAACCAACCAGCAGAAGCCAAGAGCAAAAACTAGAACCAAAAGAAGCAGCCAACGCCAAACAATTTAAAATTCGCCACAAATCAACTCAACAACTTTGTAAATTAAATACCCATAATATATGAAGGTTTCTTACACAACAGTACAACAAAAATGACACAAATAATCGAAATTCGGCACTGTTTACAGCATGAACAGTAACTTCGGTACTGTTAACAGTAATTTCAGCACTGTTCACAGAGTGAACAGCATTTTCGGTACTATTCACATACCTTAGAACCATATTGGCTCTGATACCATGTAAACTTTGATTAAATAATAAAGAAAGAAACTAGAAGAAATAAACATTATTGAGGCATAACTAGCCAGAACAACCTTAAAAGAAAACTACATATAAGAGGTCTTTATATAATAAGACAAAAGGAAAACAAACAGACTAAGTTAGGGCAACATAAAAGAAAATAAATAACTAAGCTACTCCTAAACCTAAATATGTTAACTACTCTAACAGTGAGAATATATACTTATGCATGCAATTAAGTTGATTTTGGCTTCCTCATGAGAAGAGTGGGAGATGTATTATAACCCCCTCTTTCCCCCTTATCTCTTTCAAAAATAGAAAATAAATAAAAACAATAACTAGAAAAGAACATTAAGTAGTGCAACCTATTAGTTACTTTGTGTAGTTTCAGTTAGGATATTATTTTAAAAAAAAAAAACCAAATGATGAAATAATTGAATTCCCAAAGATTTGGACTATTCTCTGTACTCTCAAAGTCGTCATTTGATTTTCTAAATTCTTAATATTCTGTGGTGGCAAATGAGTTCTGAACTTCTTGTCTAAACCTGCTTCAGGATGCCTATTAATCATTCTTGTTTCAATGATATAAAATAAACACTCCACAACTAGAGTCGATTCGTTACCTGAACTTTAGTAGCTGCTTTGTTTCTTCTTCTGCGCCTGTATTCATCTCGGGATGCCATTGCTCGCAAACCAGTTTGAATGACTATTGCTGCTGCCTGTAAGTCTGTGTAAGATTTTCTTGCTGCATGAGCACGTAGATGTTTCTGGATACGGATTGACGCAGCTTCCTTCCTCATATGTTCATAGAGCTTACGTGCAAGTTGTGCTGTGTTAGGCAGCAAAAGAAACTTTGTCATTTCCATTTCTTTTCTGTTAATAGCTTGCAGATCTTGCTTTAGATTAGGTTGTGTTGGGATCAGGTCCAAAATTTCCTGCCCCTCAAACCTGATCAGTTAATAGTTGTGGCTATATAATTGTTAGATTTGAAATGCTACTATAGTACATATTAGAATGTTGAAAACTGGGAGTTGGTGTCTGGTTTATAATACTTCTGATTGAGCAATTTTTTGGCACATATATGCTCTCCCTAGGAACAAATAGGTTACCTCTCCAAAGTTTCTGCATGTGAATTGTGGCCCTTCGGAGGGTAATGAACTCTTTACGTGTGAGATGTGTCCGTATTTGCCTTTGAATCCGCCTCACAGCATTAGCCAGAACTTCAGTTCTTCTAGCATCTAACTCCGCCATCTGTCCAGCTCTAAGAAACACCTTTGTTTTCCCAATCTGAAGTATAGAATAGCAAGCTTCAGAGCTTGCCCTTATCTCAAAGAAGTTTCCTGACAGAATTCGTAGCAAGGATGCTGCTATATATTTTATTATAGTGTGACCTCTAAATTTATTACCTGATAGCCCTTTAAGCCCATCCTGTCCAAAATTGCAACACATGCTGATTTGTCATCGGATCTGCAGAGNNGTGTTAACCCGGCCCCTACTCGACCCGATTCGTTTATTAAACGGATTAAACAAGTTGTGTGTGGGTTAATGGTTTTCCACATGAATTCAATTAGACCCGACTCGTAACCATTTAACCCGGTTGAAACCCCTACGTACCCGTACTCGTACTACATACTAAATCAACTCACGATCCAGGTAACATTGCCTTGAACTTTAACCTATGTAAATTAGATATTTTTCTCTTTTCTTAGATCTGTCTTATATAATTAATTAAGATTCTTATGGTGTTGCAAGTAGGGAAATTACTTACCAGGCTTCATCAAGAAGAGCAATTATACCCCCAGGTTTCTGCATGTAAATATTTACATTATCATCTGGAAAAGTTTTATCATGGACAGGTAATGTATAAGATCGAAATAGAAGGGCTTATTAATAGTCAATACCTTCTCAATGAGATCCAAAACGTCTTGGTTATCAACAAATTCTACATAACTCCAGTTGATTTCCTCCATCGTGTACTCTTCTTGCTCCATCTTGAACACATGCTGTAGATGTGTTTTCCCAATTTAACAGTATGTACAGAGCATGGCAGTATGCATCCTACTCCTACTAATACTATTCATATGCATTCGGAAGATATAGTTGTGGAACAAATAGCTTTGACAGAAACCATATTTAGTCATCCTCCCTACTCTACCTGATTAAAATGCTGTTGCAGCTTCTCATTTGTTAAGTTGATACACAACTGCTCAAAACTGACACATGAAGCACACAATAAGATCTTGGTTTTTGCTGTAAAAACTTTTATATGTCGAGAAATGATCAAATCTATCATTGTTTACCTGTTGATCTTGAAGCTCTCAAAACCATAAATATCAAGGACTCCAATAATGCTTTTTGCATTGGGATCCTGACCAATTGAATTATTTATCTTGTCCACAATCCTGTCATTGTTCAAGTTCAGCACCAAATTATTTCTCACTTAGTATAAAATTAGGTTTGTGTGTATCAATCACATTAAACTTAGAAGATGGGACTTCGAAGCCAAAATCATTTTGGAGTTACTGGAAATTCAACCAGCTCAGCCACGTTTTGTGATTACTTCTATGTTGATTGGTAGCATCCCAGAATGGGGGTTGGAATTTTGCTGTGAGACATGATTGAATTTTTAGGAATTCCAAGGATGAAATTTTTAGGAAGCTTGATCCGGGCCGGAATTGTAATATGTTTTTGCTTTGGTATATTTTTGGACTGACATAAAAAATATAACTGAAGTTAATTAGGGGTAATAATGATCACAATTACAAATTATAATATAAAAGTAAATTATCAAACATTTAGTGCTAACATATGCTTTTCAAAAACCTTGAGCAATGTCCACCATAGGGAAGTAATAAGTGTCCACTATTTGTGAAGAAAGAAACAAGCCACGCATGTGTGTGTGACAAGTGCTTGTTTAAGTGTCCAAATGCATAAGTAGTCTAAATAATGGCTTGACAAGTGACCAAGCCATGTGTCAACCAAAGTAAGATTGAATTCATGCAAGGAGACACATGTTCCTTGAATTTGGCTATAAATAGAGGCCACCTCTCACTTGTAGAAACCATAAGAAATAAAGAAGAGAGGAAGAAGAAAGAGAGAAAGGGAGAAAGAGGGAAGACAAAAGAGAAAAAAGAGTAGTGAGCTTGAAGAGAGCATTAAATGGTTTCTAGTGATCTGACCCAAATGAGATTCAAACATGATATAACTTAAGGTACCTATCCACTGAAAACGAGTTACTATTTGAGGTACGGGGTAGTATACAATATGCTCTTTCTAAATCTCTTTGTAATAAGTGTTTTTTTGATTATCTGAAATTTGTATTTCTATTGATTATTTTTTATTGATATGAGATACTGGAATTTTTGTTGATTCGAGCTATATGTGTAAAACCCGAAAAAAAAAAAAATTATTATTATTAAAATCCTAATAAAAGGGGTAAAATAATAATTAATTGTTAAATTATGGGTCAAAAACGTAAATTTAAAAAAAAAAAATAATATATATATATATATATAAGTGGAAGACTTTGTCTTCCACTTTTTATGTCTTCTACAGCCGGCGAGACAGAGAGAGTGAGAAAAAAAAATGAGTTTTTATTTTTTTTTCTCTTTTCTTCCTTCTCAGATCTAGGAAAATTTAACCGTTTAATCGCTTTGGGCCAAGAACTAAAGTTGCTCTACTCAGCGAGAGCTACACAACCACACCAAATATCGTATTTTTCTTCGAAGGAATATCAAAGCCGATAATCTAGGCCTAAAACTTAGGAAGCTAAATTTGGGCTTCCTTGGCGTTCTAGTAAGTGGTCTCACGCTACGAGAGGTAGGGTTTCCCCTATTTAGATTTAATTTCAACTTAAAATATGACATATGGAATGAGTAGATTATGAGTGTATATCACATGTTAGGTCTTGACTAGTGGGTCAAATATAGAATTTATAATTAATCTTGTGATTAATAAAATTCTATTGTGATTAACTTGGTGTAAGTTAATGTTAGTAGTTTAAAGCATGTTAATTGTATGTTAGCATTACTTTATATTTTAATGGCAGATCAAGTTTAATAAAATTATTAACTTGTTATATGATTGTGAAATAATATATATATGTTAAATGATTATTTAACATATGATTATTTTGGTGGACTTGTGCTTATGTTAAACATGTTGTCATGTTGCAAGTCATAACATGCTTGAGATCGTGTTAAAATGTCATTATATTGTATTCATTATGTAATAGACATTGTATTTCATTATGCATGGGTTGCACTACATTCATGGGCATTGACATGGGTGAGAGTGTATGCATGGTATGAAATCAATCACCACGTAGGTGGTTGAACGTGGACTCGGAAAAGTCGCACCAAGGTTCGGTTGAGTCGCACGAGAAATTAAATGGATAAATGTGTTGGGGACAGCACGAAGGGCTAGATTCTCCCTCGGGTGCAAGACCCGCTTACTTGGTTTATACACTTTCCGGCGGTGAAATTCCAGAAAAGTGTAACGGCGGAAACGGAGCCGCAGGTGGGATGTCCTGAAGATCCGTTGATGGTTGGTGTCCCATTGGTGTAATACCATAAATCATCTCCCCACAAAGACACAAGAAAATGAATTAATTAGCATTGAGTGTACATAACACCAATGATGGGGGCTTGGAATGCTCGGATACATACGCATGACATTGCATGTGTTATGGGAGCTCAGGATGGGGCTCGGGGTTGGTATTGCTTGCGTGAGTCTCATCTCATGGCATGACATGATCTATAACATTCAATCATAATAGACATATTTAAATGAATGTATCAAATGATCGTTGCATGTGACATTCCATATTCATTTAGGTTGAGAGGTATTCTCTATAGGAGTTACCCTATTGAGCGTTAGCTCACTCTTTATGGGAACATTTTTCAAGTATCACACAGGCGTCCACCGAAGGCGAGGCCATGGGCCCGCTTTGACGACAGAGTCGGTCTGTGGCTTTTATTTTGACATTGTAGTCCCTTGTTTATA